GAAACTCTAGCCCTAAAATATGAAATACCTAGCCTATCCTCTAGCATGCATCACTAATATCTCAATAATAAATCGTAACACAAATAAGTAAGGGTATTTTGGGAAATCACCGTTCGGGCCCTGGCTGATTGTACACACTTCTCCAACTCGTTTTCTCTTAAAGCTCTTTCTCATTTTAGAAAAATCATTTCTTTTGAATTTTTTTCTCAAATCCTCAGTTTGAGTCCAGACACACCCGAAGGTACATCTGAATCCCTCAAAACCTAGGCTCTGATACCAACTTGTAACACCGTAAATTTTCAAACAAAATTTTCAAATTTAAAATCACATAATTCTCATAACACATTTCGCAAAATCCCATTTATTTAATTTACAAAACGCAACTCCATAATTGTTTGATTAATAATCTAGGATCCTCAAAACATAACTCTTTCTCTGGTGTGTACAATCGAACCGGCACCCTTCCGCGATCCTGAGAAGAACCTGAAACACATATCAGATAACACAGTAAGCACGAAGCTTAGTGAGTTCCCCAAAATTCCACATACAACTCATTAGCCACTCGAAGCTATAACTCTGTACGACCCTCTTGGTCAATGTGTCCCAGTGGGACCCTCCGATCCCACAACTCTGGTGGACCCTCCAGTCCTAACTCTGGGACCCTCCGATCCTAACTCTGTGGACCCTCCGGTCCTAACTCTGTATACTCAGAATAAAACATAGCATAAGTCACATAGACATAATGCAAAACATCACAGTACTCAAATAAACACATAAGACCCTCTGGTCACCCTACTATGGCTACCACTCTAGGTATGTATAGTGAGAAGACTCACCTTGTAAGCAAGCAAGCAAAACCTCGTACACGAATCTCGAACTAGCCTCCGTCTATCACATAGGATAAATATCTCCAATTAATACTCTATTCTCGACTCTAAATAAACCAAGGGTTATTCTCTCTCTCTCTCTCTCTAACTCTTGAAATGGGTAAAAGACCATTTTACCCCTCTATGGCTCTCTATTACTCATATTGACCAAACCCTAAAGTCAACAGAAGTCAAACTCGAGTCAACAGTCCATGTTTGACCTGAATCGCCAAGTGAACCCATGTGACTCGTCGAGTCCACTCTTTTCCTCAGAAGTCTCATGAAGGTCCAGCTCAGCTCGTCGAGTTGACCCCCAACTCGCCGAGTTATCGTATGATCAATATCATTGGGACAAACTCTCACCGACTCGTCGAGTCAGCTCATCGACTCGGCGAGTCCATTCAAACTCATTCCCCATTCAGACGATTCAAAGCAGATCTACCACTCCAAACACTAGATCTAGCATCTCAAGCCTCATTTGTCACGTAAAGCTTCAATCTTTACGTTCATGTATGGCAATTTTGCTCCAATATACCAAAACATGTTCTCACAAGGTGTTAAGCACAATAACCCTCATGTGGATGAATAAAGTTGGGACCTTTGGACTCTAGGGACCTCACAAGGTCCAGATCTGAGGTTTAACCCCATGATAACTCTATTGCTTGAAGTCCCAACAAAATGTGTAAGAAACCCTAATATTCCACAATAATGAGATCTAGGCAAACAAATGAGAAAGGTGCAAGCTTTTACCTCCCACTGAAGCCCTTGCATGAAGATACACTAGATCCAACCGATTCTCTTGCTTCCTTGTTGGATAATCTCATCTTCTTCTCAAAAAAATGCACTAAGTTACTCCAAGTTTAGCTTCTAAGACTCTCTTAGCTCACTACACACGTTTAGGGTTTTACACAGGAAGGTTAGGCAGCTGGTGAGGCAGAAATGGGGGCATAAGTTCCCTTATATAGGCCCCAACCTCGGGATATTAGGGTTTCACAACACAGCACCAACTCCGCGAGTCGGATCTCTGACTCGTCGAGTCCATTCATTAATCCCACACGGACAGCTCGACTCTACTCGACGAGTTGGACTCACAACTCGTCGAGTCACTCCATAAATCTCAAACTTAAATCACACAATAATATACCTGAAAGTCCGGATGTTACAGATCGCCTCTAATTGTGTAGATCGGCGATCTGTGTAACTTCGCTTAGAGTCAATCTTGGTCGTTCCTTTTTGAACTGATCCAACGGGCATGGTTCTTGCGCATCAAAGCAATAGAAGCGACGCGAATAGAAATGTCGGCGTCGTCGCTACTAGTCACCAAAAAAGACGCGCGATCCATTCCCTCCATCTTGTCGCCCCAATTACCGCATTGTCGCCGCAAATAGAGTCGTCGGTAAAGGGTTTGTCCCCTTTACCCCTGCATCGTGTCTCAGAACAAGTGACAGCAAAAAAAATTCACTCTCCTCTCCACCAGCGATTTCCGACGAAGACAACACACAACATCGATTTCTCCGGCGACCACAACCACAAAAGCCTCTCTTTTCTCCTTTCCACTTCACTCCTCCTCTCCCCCACTTCACTTCACTCGGCTGTGATACATTTTCCGGCGAGAACTCGCTGTGGTACTCCCTTCCTTTTTTTTTCGTTCAATTTCTTTTCTGGAACAAAATTGTATGGTAATTTCAGATTTTGGTGGTTTCACAGTGATTTCTTTTCTGAAAAATTACTTCTCCGGTGACCACGTTTTTTTCCGGCGACCACGACCACAATCGGTGCGCATGTGAATGCCTTTACTTACACCGCTTGCATAGTGAATGGTGTTAGGTTTATGGTACTTATGCGTGACACCTAACGATCAACACAAAACTCGGGGGTTCTAACTGAGGGAGAGAATAAAGAGAAATATTATGGTCAACTAGAAGAGATTATCGAGTTGCATTGTCCTCATAAATATTCCATCGTACTTTTTTGTTGCAAGTGGTTCGATACTGGATGAGTTAAATCTGATAATAATTTCACCAGTATCGATCCACAACGCGAATTGAGCAGCGAAGATCAACTCATATTTTCTACGCAGGCCAAGCAAGTATTTTACATCCAAGAACTTTCTCGAAGTGACGAAAATGACAACCAACGGTGGGTTGTTGAAAATGTTAATCATAGAAGAATTTGGGATCTATCGATGAACGATGTCGACCATGATCCCATTGAAAATGTCGACAATGATTCAACTGATGTCGTTCTTAGTAATGTTTCTTCTAATTTCACTCTCTCAATCGACTTTAGCCAGTACTTTTAAAATTTTCAATATGTTGAAGATGATATTGAAGTTGACCCGCCAACGAGTATCATCAATAATGTGTCTGATTGCGAGACTGATTATGATGAGGAAGATTCCGATTATGATAGTGATGTGTCAGCAGACACTGAAGTGTCTAAAATACAAATTGCCTTAGTTGTTGAGGTTTCTCTACAGACTCATCAAATAGCCGCCTCTGGTGGTGATTTAGACACCATTGATTGGATCATAATATTTGAGAAGGTGTTGGGTACACAAAGGGGGCATGTGAGAGGCATTGGGCCTAAACCTTCTTCAGCTATCGATACAAGTGCTCTATCCCAATGACAGTCACAGTCACAAGCACCGCAACCAATGTAGGTACTTGTTAAATTCTTAAAGAATTTGGTAGCTTTGTTATATTGTTAAGAACTCGATATATTTGTTGTATTTTTTGGTAGCTTGGTAGTTTGTTAAATTGTTAAAGACTTAATTGATTTGGTCGTTTAATAGTTTGTTAAATTGTTAACGACTTAATTCATTTAGTGCTTTGATGGTTTGATAGTTTGTTAAATTGTTAATGACTTAATGTGTTTGTGACTTAATTGTAGGATGTTGATGTGAATGCTTTTCTTCAAAACTCGACATTTGTGACGGCCATTGGAGACATTATCCGCTCATTCAAAAACCAAGTCAACAACGAGGAAAACAATGATGGGGAAGACGAAGAAACATATTATTTCTTGTTTTATGTTACGGATGATGTTATTTTGGATTTATTAGATAGTTTATGGATGATATATTAGATGTTTATTTGTGATTTATTAGATAGTTTATGTAATGGTATATTTTATGTTTTATGTAATGTGGTATGTATTATTTATGTATTTTTATCAAATCTGCATTTTATAATATATACAAACTAATATCATAAAAAATATGTTTTTTCTCAAAAAAAAAAAAAGCCATTAGCAGCGACACCTTTAGGGACGACATCGACCAATTGCGACGACCCATGACTCCAGGAAGCTTTGCCGGAAAAACCCCGGCCGGTGACGGAATGTCAATAGAGACGACGCTATTTGCGATGACAGACGAGTATTAGAGACGACCAGTATTAGAAACGACACTATTTGTGACGACAAACGAGTATTAGCTACGAGGTAATTGCAACGACCCTTTAGAGACGACGTGTCGTCGCTAAAGGTATTAGCGACGACAATAGGCATCAATTGCGATGATGTTTGTCGCCACTAAAGGTAACGTTTTTTGTTGTGGAAGACCGTAATGTAACTTATTAATATATATATATATATATATATATTAAAGATGTCTCCCCTTAGGAACAGTAACGTTCCTAAGGAGTTGGCAAAGTTGGTCCTCTGTTTATATCCGTATGGTAAATTTCGTCTGTTTTGTGGCTTTTTTTTTTTACAATAGGTTCTTTTACACCATTATCTAGATTGGAATAGACATGTGTTGTTTCTATTTTCGAACATATGTCCAACTCCACCGCCTTTGACTGCTTTGAAACTTTAACCAGATTCTCGATTCTTCTTCAGTTCTTCTGGTCGTACCCTTTGTGATTAACATCCATATTTTCTTCCTTCTTCTATCTAAACCTTCTCATATTTTGGGGGTATTGTTGCTCTGTGAGAGTCGTCCTCGAATTCCTGTCGGTTTGGAGAAATTATCCTCTTTCCTTCCCCCAAATTCTTATATCGACTCAAATAACAAATCAAAGATCAATACAGGAAAAAAATAAGCAAGGTCGTGTGTGTGTGTGTGTGTGTGTGTTGTGTTCAATCCATCAGAAGGAAGACCAGTCGAAGGCTGCTTCCTCACCGCCAATTATGTCTGCGTACCCTACTACGGTGTTATGGCTCGAATCTTCCATCATCGACTCAATTCGGGCACATGTTTTTCTCTCACCTATTCCACCGCTTCCACCACTTCCCACTACCCCTTCAAACGCCGATGTAGTCAAAGCCTTGTTTGAGATGCTCCATGGAACGCCGTCTCCCTACCGCTATTAAATCTTCTACATAGTCTCTTTTCCCTGTTGATATGTGTTCTTTGCCTCGTGCAATTCCTCAGAAGAAGCCGACATTGGCTGTTTCTTTCGTTGGTATTGAGCCGACTAAACAAATATGGAGAAGAATACAAACCGAATAAACCATGTTGCCACCGGGACATGCGTTCAAGATTCAAAGGTCCATTTTGAGCGACAACAAGAACAAGAACAAGTTCAATTAAAAGTGGGAGTAACTTCAGATGGTAGTGTTTTTTTTATTTCAATCGCCCTTCCCACTATGTATTTACTATGTTTTCTACATATAATTTGGGGTTTTTTTTTTCTGGCAGCAAGGGAATTTGATTGATGGTTGTAGGAGGATTAATCTATTACAGAGTACAAACACGCAGGTCGACTTCCACGTTCTGCAACCACCGCCATCTCTCACCCTCCCTTTATATACTCGATCTAACCCACATACCTTTGGTTATGTTGGGTGTAAAAATTAGTTTATACTTTGCTTTTCTTAGATATTGTAGTTTTCGGTCTGAGGCCGAAAACTCATTGGGTTTATTTTTAGCTTGGACCGAAAACCCATGTGTTTTCGGTCTGGGTATTGGGTTTGGGCTTTGGCTTTAGTACATAGGTATAAATAGGGCAGAGGAGGAGTGTTTTATAAGCATTAGACTAAGGAGGGGCGTTTTCGGCTAGAGGTGCATTCATTCATAATCATATTGTAGAGAGAGAAAGTTAGAGAGAAGAAGTGTGTGTGTGGATCTTGTGTAAGGATTTATCATTCATATCATCAATACATCATAGATTCATCAAGTTCTTCTTCTTCTTCTCCATTTTATCTTGCATCATCCGCTTGATTGGGATTCCGCACCATCAAGCGGATCGGATTGATACGTCAATCAAATTTTTGGGACTTACAGTTGGTATCAGAGCTTGGATTGTATCAATCTCCTTGGCAAGATTTGGAGCGTTTTTTCACTTTTTCTTGAAGAATTTTACGTTTTTGGATAGTTTTTGAAAAAATATTGGGGGTTTGTTCTTCGTGTTTTTCATAAAAATGGTTTTTTGATCAAGTTTTGGTGCTAAAAAGGTGAAAAATCGCGTTTTTTGGTCGTAACCAGCGAGGGTGTGGCGGCGGTTTTCGGTCAGCAGCTAGGGTTTGCGAGGGGTTTTCGGCCGGAAACACGTTTGCGGTCCGAGGAGTACTCGGTCCAAAGCTGTTTACAGCCGAAATCGGATTTTCGGTGGAGCGTCTGAAGGTTTGCGGTGCACGTGTTCATTCCGTATTTTCGGTTCGGACATTTTCGGCCCAGCAGGCGTTAGGTCCTCGTGTTCTCGGCCAGCAGGTTTTCGGCCCACGTGTGCGGTCAGCAACTCGCTTGTGGACTAGTTCATAAAAAATCCGGGGTATAGCAAGATTCGAACCCGGGTCTCTCCCACACACAACCCACACCCTTACCAATCCGTCTAGCAAGCCTCATGTTATATGTCTTCCCGATTTAATTCAAATAACTTCGTTTTCGGTTCTATTTTCGAATTTTTGATAATTTTAGCCCAAAAATCAATTTTTCAAATTTTAAAATTTCGTTTTCAGCCCATAGCTTTGACTTTTAATTTTTGACTATCATTTTTGACTTTGACTTTAAACTTTGACCTTTGACTTTAAACTTTGACTTTCTCGTTTAACCTTCAAATTTTCACTTTTAGCTTTTCGGTTTGACTTTTAAGTTTGACTTTTCAAGTTTGGCTTTTTAAACTTGACTTTTAAGGTTGACTTTCGAGGTTTTAAGTCAAAAGGGCATTTTTGGTAAACAATGAGTTCCGCAAACATTCCGGTCAATGAAGTTACATGTTCTCAATCTTGTGAAGCTACTGTTAAATTTCTGCGTGATCAAATTGATTTATTGCGTAGAGAAAATGAGGACGTTAAGTATGAAGGCTATACCCTTAGGAAAGGTCAGAAACCCCTGAAAGAACAATTAGAGGCCAAAACTAAGGACTTTAGGAAACTTGAGGAAGAGTACAACAATAAATGTGTGAATTATGATTATGTTAAGTTAAAACTTGCCAGTTTGAATGCTGAACTTGACACATTGAAAAACAAATTTGAAAATGAAGATTTTAATTTCAAAAAATTTGATGTGTCAAGTAAAATAGTTGCATCCATGATAGAAAAACAATTAACATTTAAAGATAATCAATCCAAGGGTCTAGGGTATCATAGTGTTTCACCTCCTTTCAGTGACAACTATAACCCACCCCTTAAATCCATCGAGGAAGAGATACCTGTTCAGTATGGCCAAACCCCTGTACCAACTTCAATTAAGACTGAACAATCAGGGCCAACTGAGGGTGTTGAGATGAAAGATACTAATGATTCTACTTCCTGTGCAGGTAAAGTAGCGGAGGATGAGGAAAAGGAGAACAAAACTAATTCTAGTTCTACAAACTTTGTTAACTGTCAAACCAATGACTCCTTAAACTCTGAATCTGTTGCTTCTAAATCAGTCACTTCTCATCAACCTGCTGTTGGTAAATATAGGCCACCAGAACAAGTGAAACAGTTGGCCTGCTGCAAGTGTGCTTGTGGGAATAATCAGAAACGAGGCAAGGGCACGCCACCAGGGGCAGGAAGAAACAATTCCTATGTGAAGAAAAAGACATGTTTTCATCTTCTGTTTGTGATAAGCAGGATATGTCATGGGAGAGAGTACCTTGCACAAACGACAAAGGTCAACCCAGTTTCAAAATGCACTGGGTTCCAAAGACCAACTGATCCCGCTCTGTGCTGGAGTAGCTATGGAGGCATATCATCTGACTTCGGTTTGTTGATAGTGGTTGTTCTAAGCACATGATAAGGGACATCTCTCAAATGTACAACATTCAAAACTTAGAGTGAAAGTATGTGTCCTTTGAGGGAAAGGAAGAAAGGAAAGGATCACACATGGGGTTTGTGCTTTACGATGTGAAGAATTTTCCGATCTGTTCTGAGATAGAAATATGCGTGATGTTCTCAGACCTTCTGGATGCAAATTCAATCGGTGACTTATGGTTTGAGTATTCTTCTCGATACTCCTGAGTTTATCTTAAACTGATTCGTTTTGAAGACAATGTTTTATTTTCTTATAGTTTTTCGTATGTAGGTTTTGTTAATTTGGGAAGTGATATGAAGCATAGTGCTAAATGGAAATTTATGATGAGTGTAATGCACTAAAGCCAAATTGTCTAGACTTTGTGTTTAATGTGCTGGTAGGCACAAAGGATTCAAAAGGACTAGACTTAGTTTGACAAATGAAAGGACTTGAAAGTATGAACTTAGATAGTTTCATTTGGACTGACCATATGACGCTCGGGTAGATTGAGCAGTGAGATAAACATGGGAACCTGCGAGATACACTAAAAGTTAATTATCTAGAACTGTGGCTCAACATTTCCTTGATGTATGGACTCATGTCCTTAACTCCGGTACTGATAGGACAACTGGGGGGTTCTGATAAAGAAGGGATGTAGGAAATTATTTTCTTGCTTTCTATCTGTCAGTCATATGTTACCTCCTTTACGCGAATGGAACATATCCGACCTGGAATGCAACATATGCAAATCTATTTCTATGCATCTTCTTATCTATGCATTTCTTTCTATCTGTTAGTCATATGCTTTCTCATTTGCGTGATTGAAACAATCTGACCTGGAACACAGCATATGCATTATTCTATCTCTTAACCCCTCTATCTGTTTTAGTCACATGTTGTCCCCTCTGCGTGATTGGAAGAGATCCGACCTGGGGCACAACATATGCACTTCTAAATCTACTTCTCTCTTAATAATTGAATAGTCACCTAAAGTAAGGAGTTCTCTGGAAGTTCTTGATTACTGGGGTATATCGAGAAGTGGGAAACACGTTCTAGTACATCTAAAATTGAACCATTTAATAGGTTGTCTGTAGATCTCGCTGCTGAATTTAAGTGGACAACAATATCCTTGGTCGTCGTCAGCTAAATGGTCTATTTAGGAATATAGGTGCAAATGTCTGGTCACTTATTATCTGTCCAACTTGTCAATTTCCTTCGTGTTTAAGTGAACCACAATACCGGTGATTGACCAGATCTAGACATGCAGGCGTGTGCTGATAAACGATATTGAATTGTTTGACAACTTTGATCCAAAAAGTCTTAAATTTAGTCATTATTTTTGTTTTTGTTAAATTTTTTCATAGTTTTCCTCTATGCACAAATTTAGGGGGAGACTTAAAAATTAAAAAAAAAAAATCAAACAAAAATCAGAAAACCAAAAATCCAAAAATAGTGTTATTTCTGTTTTTTTTTTTCTTTTTCAAAAAAATATAAAAAAAATCCAAAAATATTTTTGTTTCTGTTTTATTTTTTTCAGAAAATATGAAAAATCCAAAAATATTCATCCGTGATTGTCGAAGAATTCTCATTCGAAGGAACAAGAAATGAATATTATTCTTTCAACATTCAATCTTTTAACCCCAGAAGCAAGGTGAAGCTGTACTTGAAGATTATGTGACAGATTGCATTGAAGCCTCCTCAATCAATTTGCTGCTATCTATGTACCTGCTGAAGTGATCCAGAAGATTCGTTCTCTCTGATATTTTCTCTAAAGATTCTCAAGCTGAAAGCATAAATTTTCAAGAATCTATACATGAAGCCTCCACACCCAACGTGCGTTCAATGTCAAATTTTGAAGAGAAACCCAAATGTTCAAGATGAAGTCACTCACGTAGAAGATTCATTTGTTCATCTTGAAGCTGTGAAGAAAATTGAAGATAAACGCTGAAGCCAAGCTCACAGAGTGAAGACTGAGAAGAAATGCAAGCTACAATCCTAGGGGGAGTTTGTTGGGTCAAAGGAAAAGAAAGCTATAAACCAAGGGGGAGATTGTTGGGTCTAAAAACTGGTTTATACTTTGCTTTTCTTAGATATTGTAGTTTTCGGTCTAAGGCCGAAAACTCCTTGGGTTTATTTTTAGCTTGGACCGAAAACCCATGTGTTTACGGTCTGGGTATTGGTTTCGGGCTTTGGGTTTAGTCCATAGGTATAAATAGGGTGGAGGAGGAGTGTTTTATAAGCATTAGACTAAGGAGGGGCGTTTTCGGCTAGAGGTGCATTCATTCATAATCATATTGTAGAGAGAGAAAGTTAAAGAGAAGAAGTGTGTGTGTGGATCTTGTGTAAGGATTATCATTCATATCATGATGTGTGATTATTGCACTAGTTTTAGTCCTACTTTTTAAATATAATTTAAACACACAAAAGGCAGTGTACTTGTCAATTGGTGGTATAATTAAGCAAGCAGGGTATTGAACACAAAGAACGGTAAATAAACTAATTACTAGAATTATCTTAAAAAAACAAATAATAAAATGAAAAAGGTTTTCTCTAGTTTTGCAAAACCAAAAACTTAAGCACTTATCTAACACTCAAACAAAGCAATTAACAGCTAAAACAAATAAAAATCAACTAAATTCAATATTAAAGGAGACTTCTGTTCAGGTTCGACTTACTTATTCCTATGGTTGATTTTATGGCACGTGCAATGGATTAATTTGTCATTGACTACCGATTAATGTGATTAGGTTCATGTTCACTATTACTAATCCTTAGAAAACAGATCAATTCAAACAGTGGCCAGTTGGTTAAACCAATGAGTTTCCTAGTTTACTGATTCGGGTTAAGTAAGACTTGTAGTTGGCTAATTAAATTGCTAATTCAATTAACTTCTTGTATGATGGTTCGTCACACAAGCTCACACATTGACTTACCTATTTTCTAATTAACCCCTAGTTCCATGTTTACTATTCCTAGGCATATAGCATTGTTTTCACATAAATTATATGAGACAAACAATTAAGAGATGTTCATACAACTTAATAGACTTGAAAATTAACAGAAAATAGTTATTGTCAACACATAAGGGTCTTTAACAAGCTGAACAAAACAAAATTCACCAAATTAAACAATCCAAGCCATAAAATTCAAACCATAGTAATAAGTTTGTCTACCCTAAACAGAAGCTAAGAGTTTTTAGCTCATAATCATGGCAGAAAATATCTCACAAAATGAACCTAATGATCTAAACATGATGTAAACACTAGATTAAGAAAAGAGAATAAAATTGTGCCTTTCGATCTCCTCAAAATTGAATGCTAAGGTTGACCACGAGTTCCAGAGCTCCAGCAGCACTCTCAATCACAAATCAGTCTCCAAGGGTTCCAGAGAGAAGTCCTTGTTTCGTGAGTTTATGCCATTTATATAATTTCTGAAAACAGGGGCGACTCGTCGAGTCCATAGGCCGACTCGGCGAGTCCCTCACTTAAAATTCGTGCGCGGTAAGGTACTTGATACTTCGCGAATCTTCGTGCCTACTCGTCGAATAGGTGTCCAACTCGCCGAGTACATCCGGTTTTTTACTCTTTTTCTTCTTTCTTCAATTCCCGAACTTCCGATTGCATTTCCCGCTTCCTTTTGCTTCCGAGCATTTCTTTTAGGCTGAAAATACAATTTAAACATAATTAAGTACCTTTTGCTTGATAATTGCAATAAAATAGCCAAAAAGTATTAAAATTCTACACAAAATATATATCAAAATATGCACATATCATATCATCAGTACATCATAGATTCATCAAGTTCTTCTTCTCCGTTGTATCTTGCATCTTCCGCTTGATTGGGATTCCGCACCATCAAGTGGATCGGATTGATCCGTCAAGCGAATTTTTGGGACTTACAGGTTAGGCTCTCGATTTTCTGCATTGAAATCCCTCTTTCACTCGATTTTATTTTGTTTCATTTGATTTGAATCCATAAGGTATAAATTTCTAATTTGATTTGATTTTTTGTTCCAGGTTTTGAAGAACTCGGCTTATATACTCATCAGGTTTTGAATCCCTATTTATCCTCTTTTATTCTATTTATCTTCTACTTAAATCAACTCTTTTAAGATAAAATACCAATTTCCTTCAAGCCATCTCACTCTATAATGTTATATTGAATTTTTACTGATGGTCTAGAGCAAATCGATGATGTTGAAGATGATCTGAAAGATAGGAAAAGTAGAAATTATTGTTGGGAGTTTCATGTTCTAGGGTTCAACCAGTGTGTGCGTTTTTTTATGCTTCTATACTCCCTCCTCTAAAACTGGAATTAAATAAAAATTACAACGCTTTTTCCATCTCCTTCCAGACATACCAGCCTCTTGAGATTGGAAAAGTGGGAAATGAAGACGATCAATTGGGAAACTTAATTGAAAGAGACGTTGTCATGTATTATTGAATTCTCCTACTCCATTACAGTTCAAAGGTAAGATGTTTTTTTATGTTCTCTTTGTCATCTGTTATTACAAAATTGCTCACTGACTCAAACTAAAAAATACTTAATTTTGTTGTCTCATCATTGTAGCGGTGTTTTTTTTTTCATTTTGGTTTTATGCTTGAAGGCATGCTCACAGTTCATCTGCTCACTGCTCACTGATGACTGTCACCGCTAATTTTTGTTCTTAAAATTACCAACCGGTTGTAAATTTGGTGTCTACAATGTTTGAATTGCTAATTTTGTTTTATAATGTTTGAATAGTGTATTTGGTTAGTGCATTTGGATGTGTTATTATGTTCATTTGCTCACTGTTTGAATTGCTAATTTTGTTTTCATGGCTCTGGATCTAGATTTGGGCACTACCATCATTGGTTTTGAGAAGACTGCTATTTCGAAGCAATATATGAATGACGTACATCAAAGGAAAAAAAGGAGAAAAAAAGCAAATGACTAGATAAAGTAAGTAATAAAATCGTTTCATGCTAATTGTTATATGACTTGGTGCATTTATAGGGTTGTAGTAACATTTTTCATCTTGAAATTGCTGTCAGGTACCACAAGCATCAGATTAACACTTTGTTCATGTAGGTATGAATCACATGATTGCAACCCAAGATAATTTGTACAAACTTGTATGGACTTTTATGAAATTTACCAGAATGGATATTACTTAGGATACAATGTTTTTTTCTCTCCCTTACAATATCAAAAGGCCATTGAAGAAGAATGTATGAAGCTCGAGGAGAAATATTTGTAGAAAATAATAGTTAATGAAGTCAAAGAGAAGATAAATTTTAACTTTTTATCATAATTTTGTCACTTTCTTTTACTTTTCTTGTGTTTATTGATTTGGTTTTAATCCTTATGTAATATATGTGTGGCTTTCTAGGAACCGACTACTATTACTTAAACAATTACTAGGAACTGATATCGATGTCCACCATGCTTTGGGTAAAATCATCATAGATAGCAATAACAATCCAGAATACTTTCTCACTACCATGCATATATATTTTCAATAGTTTGGTGGCATTCTTGAATCTGTTATCATCACTGATAAAATCATCTATATATCTTTCTACTTTAACCCCAGGACTACAAGTACAAATCACAACTCATTCATTCAAACTGTTGATATGAATTTTATTTCAGATTTTTTATATCTGTTTTGGGTGTTCTTTTTTAATAAGAAGCTTCCACCTACGTATTCATGCCATATTTATATACATTTTTTTTTATCTGTTTTGGGTGTTCTATTGATATGAATTTTATTTCAGATTTTTTTTATCTGTTTTGGGTGTTCTTTTTTAATAAGAAACTTCCACCTACGTATTCATGCCATATTCAGGTGAATATGACATAGCAAACTCAGAAAAGGTTTGTGTTGAGATCATACATAGAATGGTATGCTTTCTTTGGATTATTCATTAAACTTATAATTATTTAATGTCATATATGAATAACCAACTTTTTAAACCATTCAAAACACAAAGCAACCGATGAATAAACTTTTTATAAAATATTAAAAAAAAAGATCAATTCCAACATATCATGTAGGGAATATATTGAAGCAACTAGGGAGATTGAGAATCAGCTCCAAAGAAGGACAATCAAAATAACCTTTGATGATATTGTTGTAGCATGTGGCAAGTTTTAGTCTTCTTATTGGTTTTCAACTTTTAATGTGATTAATATTCTATTTTAAGCATAATATTAAGTTCTCTCTCTTAACTTCATTTTCATTGTATTTGTATTGATTTTTAGTGGTGGTACAATTGTTGGATTGTCAATTGTTTCATGCCTAAGTGAGCTTAAAACAAAAGTAAGTTCATTATACATTGTTTATTTTAATCTAAATTCTTTTATTGAGTCAAGACTATGAATTTGAGATAATAATGGCAAGTTACTGCATATTGTGTGTGTGATGATCCTAAATACTTCTATGATTATATCCAAGGTCTACTTGATAGACTTGAAGCAGGATTCAATTCACATGATATAGTCAAAATCGAAAATGTAACAACATAAATTTGTTTTCATGTATATATATTTTGATGTTTGTTTAATATTTTGTTTTGGTAGGCTAAAGGAGTCAGGTATACCATAAGTATTGTAGAAGAGCTTACATTTGTCAAAAAAGTTGCAGAAAGCACTCGTGTGATCCTGGACCTGTTTACAGGTTTGACTTAGCCTCTCATTGACTGAGTGGAAGCTTCAAGTAATTCTTAGTTTGATTAGTAATACAAACAGTTGCCAAATGCTCAAATAATGCTTATAAGCAAAAAGGTAGAAAAATAAATACAAATAATTAGTTTTTATTTCAATTTCTTGCATTTAATCCTTTATTGGCCTACATACAACAAATAGCAATGTCCTTTCAGTTTATTGTTTAATATAGTATCTTACTTTCACTTATATTTTTTAATTTTTGTTCATTTTTGAAAGATACTTTAGTGTCTAATATAGCAACTTGCTTTCACGTTAAACTATAAAATGAAAGTACATTGCCACTTCTTTCATTTAGTCGATTGGGATAAATGCAAGAAATGCCAATGTATCCACAACCTAGCCTTAACCATTTCTTTATTTAATATTCGAGAGGTAATTTTGAACTCAAGATTTACTCTTTTCTTATTTTTTTTATTGAAGCATGTTGTAAAAAGAATATTTTTTTTTTGTATACTTTTACTTTTTTTTAACAGGGTGTTGTTGCTGCACTTGCTATTTACTTTGCAACACAAATGGGTCATTATCTTATAGCATACTACAACATATTCGACTATTATGTATTTGTAAATGGGCGAAACGTAGACAATAGCAACATACTTTACGGTAGTTACCAATTCAAGCAATGTACTATATTTTCACACAAAAGCAACACCTTCCAACTCCGCAACGCGGGGAACACCTTTCTAGTTTATATTAACCAATATAGAAGATTAAAATATAAAAAGATATATAAAACAAAATACTATATATTATTTATATTAAAAATACTAAAAGATCGAATATAATATATATGTAACATCCCATTTAAAATAGAATAATTAAATAATAAATCGGAACCCCGAGAAGTAAATATTATTATTATTTTATATTAATATTGTCTAAAATTAAATAATAATTAGCGGGGTGTTGGTTTCGGGAAGCCAAGTATCGTGATTTAAAGTCTCGGGGGTTAAAATGTAATTTTTGGATTAGTTTTGCAAGAGATTCTCAAAGTTGAGGGCTGTTTGGTAAGTTTTGGACCAGAATTGGGATGGAATTTATTGTTGAGGGCCAAAAGGGTAAATTATGGTCTCATATTGGAAGAAATTATTAGGAGGGGGCTGGAAACGTAAATATGGGGGAAATGTATGTGACCGGGTATATAACCCGTCACCATGTTCTTAACCCTAACCCTAGGTGAAGGCAACAGCCGCCAAACCCTAAGTACCGGCCGTCACTCCTTCTTCTTCGACTTCCGGCGCCGCTACTTTCCTCCGTCGAGTCGCACACCACCTCAGTTGGAGCCCAAACCACCGGAGCATCCACGTCCTGTCCATCCTAACGTCGGGAATCAATCCCGCTTGTATCTCAGCCGTCGTGTTCATGAGGACTCCTCTTGGCCGCCGCCGCTTGAACCACCAACGATGTAGGCCGCTCCATCGTTCTTCCCTCCAACTGTCATGAGTCGCTGCGGGGGTGGCTGTGTGTTGGATGCTGTTTCACGTCGTACGAAGCCAAGGAAGACCACCGCTCCGAGCGGCTGTCTCATTCTGTGACCACTGGGTGCCGCCTGCCACACGCCACCGTGAAATGGTGGCTGTGTTCGTGGCTTGCAAGGTGGAATGTTGCTATCATGGGTTCTGTCGACATGGAGTCACGAAAATCCACCATGGCTGCCGGCCATGGTGGCTGCCGCCGTCAAGATCGCTATGGTTCGCTATTTCCGGTGAATGTCGGCGTAAGGCATGGCTGCCGCCGTCAAGATCGCTATGGTTCGCTATTTCCGGTGAATGTCGTCGCCGCCTTACGCTGCTAGGGGGCGAGTGGACTCCTTCAAACAGGGACTGGTGTGTGCGTGTTTTCATTACTGTGTAGCGGTGTCGGGTGCTTTTTGGACGGAAATATAAAAGGGGACCACCATGGCCGCCAGCCATGGTGGCTGCCACCATATACCACCACCGGCCACCACGAGGTGGTTGGGTGTGTGTGTGCTATTAGTGAGTGTGTATGTGTTTATTAGTGTGTTTGTGTGTGTTGGTTAATTGGGGTTTAGCATTGTAATTGTAACAAAAGAGGAATAATGAAAAAAGGAACCCAAACCACCACCATAGGGTGGTGGCTGCCGCCACCGGCCGCCGTGTCGGGTGGCGGTGTGCTTGTCTTGTTGTGTTTGACTCGTTTGGGGATGTTTGGACAATGTGGAATCAAGGAAACCCTAATGGGCCCAAAGAAGCCCTAGTGGGCCCAATGGAACCCTAATGGGCCCAATGAAGATCTAATGGACCTAAAAGCCCACTCACTTGATTAATGGGCTAGTAATTGGGTTGGAAACCCTAATTAGGGTTTGGAAAACCCTAATGCCATGAAACCCTAATTTTGGGATTTATCGGGACCCGCACGTGGATTAATTATTAAACTTAAAATAATAATTAATAATCATTGACAAACTAACTTAAGGCAATAATGGACTTAATGGATTAAGTCCTTAATGGATTAAGTCCTTAAGGGGTTAAGTAAGAAACACTTAACCCTAATCATCATTTCATGTGAAAGCCCTAATCTCACTCGGGCCTTGAATTGGGCCTTCCTATTGGGCTTTGGTAATTGGATTATTAATGGACCATCCAAGAATGATCATATAGACTAGAATATATTGATGGGCTTAGGGTAAGGCCCATATGAGGGTGTGGGCCCAATTTGGAAAATTGGGCCATAGTTTGGGCCTTGATGATTATATGATATTGGGCCATATGTTGGGCTTTGGCCCATTACTTGACTATTGAGCCTTTAGTGTGTGAGTTGGACTTTGGGCTTGGAACCCAATTATTAATTGGGTGTTGTTTGATGTTGACAGTTCGGGAATCTGTCAACCAGCAGCTGGAGTTTTATCGGCGACACTTCAGCAGTGCCAGGTGAGTTCTCCTCACTATATCAACAGGGTCTAAGGCACCAAGGCCGGCCCTTTATGGATTGTATTCGGATTATTGCATGTTATGCTTACTGATTTATATCCCGGTAGTTAGGATGGTGATATGCTATGCTTTAGTGACCCGGTTGGGTCGGTATCCTGGTATATAGGATGATGCTATGTTAGTGACATGTTAGGTCGATATCCTGGTTATAGGATTGTTGCTATGCTTTGTGATCTGTTAGATCGGTTTGACTGTTATATATGCATGCTAGTGTTATATGATGTCTATGTGCACATGATGGTCCTGGTTATAGGATGATGCTATGTTAGTGACCGGTTAGGTCTGTATCTCGGTTAATGGGATGTTGCTATGATTGGTGATCTGTTAGATCGGTTTGACTGTTATATGAAATGAGCTAGCGTATGATACTTATGTGCACATGTTTGTTTGATTGGGGGTTGGGTTGAGGCGGTCCTACTTTGTGCTGTAGGCCAACATACCCGACGAGCGGTCCGGATAGGCTGTAGGCCCTGCGTGGCGGTCCAGACGTGCCGAAGGCTCGAAGAGCAGTCCAGATAGACTGAAGGCCTATGAGGCGGTCCAATCAGGCTGATGACTCATTATGCATGTTGTTCTGTATTGGTTATATGATATGGTTATGTTTGTACGACGTTGGTATTTTGGGGAAACTCACTAAGCTTCGGGCTTATAGTTGTTGATTTCGTTTCAGGCACTTCTGATGATTGCGGGAAGGCAAAGGCGTGATCGTGCACCTCTTCATATTTTCATGATTGATTCTGGGAATACTCTGATGTCTAAACTATTTTGAAAACAACCTGTAATGATTTAATGGTTTTAAAATGTGTTAAAAAGTTTAAATTTGGCTTGAATTTTATGGGTGTTACAGTATAACATGAGAAGCCTAATATGTAAAATTTGTTTATGAGAATTATACCTATAACAATGTTTAGATGTTATGGATGATGTCTTATTATACTAACATAATCATTCATGAATTTGTACGTAATGCTAATTTAATAATGCATTAATTAAATAAGTTTAAAAGTTAATAATAATAATAAATTTATTTATGATATTATTTATACTATCTATGATATTAGGTAGATGAAAATTTATTTGGAATTTTATTTTTTTATAGTATTATGTATGCTATTATATTATAAAAACAATATTATTGTTGTTTTTTTTTATCTTAATAAAAAATAAATTTAAAATTGTTAATATTAATAAAGTTAGTAATAAAAATGTAATTATTAAATAATAATGATTTATTGATCAGGTAATAATAAACTAACAATAAAAATTTATCAAATAATAATTATATTTTGATGATGACTTAAAAAGAAAGATCAGTGATAATTATATGGTAATAATTTATCATCATTTACCTAAAAAGTAAGTCTAATGATGTAGGTTGGTGTGTCTATAGTATAGTATGACCCTTTAAGATATCAGTTCTATTATCTGATTTTTTTTTTATTTCAGTTATATACATAAGTTTTGTAGTGCTGCTCAACTTGAGAAATGAGATTTCATGGAGATCGATCATGGTTTGTCCAGTAGCAAGCAACAAGTCGGTCGAGGGCAAGCAAATTTTTGAATATTTATTTTCTTTACCGAGGTAATTATTCTGATTTATGATATTATTTTTCTCAATTTCTCAAATTATAAATGTTTTTTTATTTCTAAATTTTGATTGTAAAGCAATGACCTAGAGTTTTTTATTTTTATTTTTTATTACAATAGATGAAGACAATAAGCATTAATGTAAGTTTTCTGAATTTAATTTGGTACAAAAAAAAACTTTTTTTTTCTGACATCCATGGAACATGGTCACATCCCTTCACAATTGTTAGTTGTTGCCTATTATGCAATAAGTAGAAATTCAGCAAATTGCAAGCAAAATCAGTTTGTGGATGTGGGTTCTCCAATGGTTGTATGATGTCGATTGAAGTTATAAAAAATATTACAGAAAGTTTCCATTATCTGTTGCACTAGATGTCATTTGTCAACATAATAGTTTGTTAAAAATGTTAATCAATTCAAAGGTTTAATTGTTTGTTTATAGAAAAGGGTTATAATATCTTTTGGAAAGAACAAAAATTCTAAATTTCGATCTAATGTGCATATTTTATGATGATATGTAGGTTGGAAATTTAGGCCACATGCCTTTACGACTTTACCATTGTTATAGCATTTAAAGAGACTTTTCTCTATTTTGTTTTGTGTTTATTTTCATGGTTTTGATGTGTACATCTAATAACACGGAGGAAAGATGTTTTGATATGTACTGGCCGTTAAATTTGTTGAGTAACCAAAATTGTTGTTTGTAAATTAAATGTTGTTTTTTGTTTAGTTTCGTGGATTTGATAGACTATTGTTGTGAACTAGATGTTATGTGATGAATTTGTCTAGTGTCATTTATCTACTAATTCTTGTTTTCTTTGTTTTTCACTTTTCAGATCCATTTGTTTCAAAAGTTCAAGCAATTTCCATTAATAACTTAAAACATAAACTTATTCCAAGTTTTATCCTTTCTACGCCAAGTATAGTTTTATATTATAAGATGTACTTAATTGTTTTTGCTTCATAAAAATACATGCATCATTTAGGCGATTGCAACTTTATAAGTTCTAGTTTGTATCCATATAGATTTTTCAAATAAAATGAAATGTTG